TTTGTTTTTCACTTCCACTGTGTATTCATAAGGGATTTGGTTTAGATTGTACCTGACTAGCCCAGTGGTTTTTCCTACTCTCTTCAGTTTAAGCTTGAATTTTGCTATGAGAAGCTGATGATCAGAGCCACAATCAGCTCCAGGTGTTGTTTTTGCTGATTATATAGAGCTTCTTCATCTTTGGCTGCAGAGAACATAATCAATCTGATTTTGGTATTGCCCATCTGGTTATGTGTAGAGTCGCCTCTTGTGTTTTTGGAAAAGATTGTTTGTGATGACCAGCTTGTTCTCTTGACAAAACTCTATTAACCTCTGCTGTGCTTTGTTTTGAACTCCAAGGCCAAACTTACCTGTTGTTCCTTTTATCTCTTGACTCCCTATTTTAGCATTCCAGTTGCTTATAATGAGAAGAACATTTTTTGTGTGTGTCAGTTCTAGAAGGTGTTGTACGTCTTCATAGAATTGGTCAATTTCAGCCTCTTCAGTATTGGTGGTTGGTGCATAAATTTGGATTGCTGTGATGTTGAAAAGTCTGCCTTGGAGTTGTATTGAAATCATTCTATCACTTTTGAGATTGTATCCCAATACAGCTTTTCCCACTCTTTTGTTAACTATGAGGGCTACTCCATTTCTTCTATGGGATTCCAGCCCAGAATTGTAGATATGATAATCATCTGAATTGAATTCGCTCATTCCCGTCCATTTTAGTTCACTGACAACCAGGATGTCAATGTTGATTCTTACCATCTCCTGTTTGACCACATCCAGCTTACCAAGGTTCATAACCCAGGTTCCTATTCAGTATTTTTCTTTGCAGCATCAGACCTTCCTTTCACTTCCAGGCGCGTCCGCATATGAGCGTCCTTTTGGCTTTTGCCCAACCACTTCATTAGATCTGGAGCTACTTGTAGTTGTGCTCTACTCTTCCTCAGTAGCATGTTGGACGCCTTCCAACCTGAGGGGCCCATCTTCCAGCCTCATATGTTTTATTCTTTTGTTTCTGTTCATGGGGTGTTCTTGGCAAAAATACTGGAGTGGCTTGCCTGTTCCTACTCCAGGTGGATGGCGTTTAGTTGGAACTCTCCACTGTGACCTGTCCGTCTTGGGTGTCCCTGCACAGCATAGCCCATAGCTTCCCTGAATTACTCAAGCCCCTTTGCCACAATAAGGCAGTAATCCATGAAGTGGCTGATGAGATGACTGAACCTGAAAGCCAGTAAAGTAAAATGTGCTAGTGTGACTTTTTAATCAATCACTCAACCAATCAACCAATCAATCAATCAATCGGTTAATTGGTTAATTGAGAATATCCTGTGACTGAAGACATTTGTTAAATGTACAAACCACCCAATTGGTTTTGAAGTAGTTTTCAATCAGAAATATTTTTAAAAGTAAACCAAATAATGACTAAATTGACCAAAATCTGTAAGACAGGTGAGTACAGTATTAGAAGAAGAAGAAAAAAAGAACTGTGAAGATGTTTAAGAACCAGTAGTAAAAAGGGAAATGAAGATAGTAAGTAAGGAGTTAGAGGATAAGAAGAAGAATTGCTAATCAATATAATTAGTATGCCAGGCAAATCTCCCTAAATTGAGGAGGGGGGGCTTCTGTACAAGGTAATTTCCCTGATAGTTCTTCATCACACCTGGTAGCTGTGACAACCAGAGAAGAGATTCCAAGGATTATTTTGAGAATCTAAATAGGAATATATTTGGGGCATATACTTAGACTGACTTCAGCCATTCTCCTCTGCATTGGGGATGGACCTACAGTATTGTGGTAGTTGTCTGGCATGCTATTAGAAATTCTTGACAGCTTGAGGATGTTTCCAAGAGGCATAGTTAAGCTGTATTCATTCTTGGTGTCAAAGATGTCATATGTCTGTATGATACTTAGAGCTGACTCAGACCGTCTGTGGTCATGATGGCACTTAAAAATAATATAAAAAAATAATTCATATCCACCTTGACTTTGAGTAAGGCTAGTTCTGAAGCTTAATGTAGATAGTGTGAAGTCCTATCTGGTTCTGAGTTGTAGGATAAACTTCAGCTGTTGCAGTGTGTGTGGGCAAGATATAGCCTACCCTCTCTTTGTATGCCTTCCTTGTTAATACAGTAATATTCAGCAGGTGTGGGTTGACTGACTACGTCCAGAGAACAGTGAATTCCTTTCTAAGACAGCAGCAGTTTTGTTGACCTTAACGGTTAAGGGGCCCACAGCATCCCCTTCTTCAGTCATGTTCTCAACTCCAGGCACTCTTGGGAGAGGTTGATTCGTGAGATCTATTTTACTCTGGTTTCAGGCCTAATTTTATCAAAAGAACCACTTTGATCTCCCTGATAAATGGACTGCTGCTGAGAGATAATTGGTATGTGTGTGATTCTGCTAAGTGGGCTTCTTGGCCATAATCAGCCTAGAGGATAGCCTTTTTAGACTGGAGACACTGTGCTTCAGTAATTTCCCTATTTTTTGGCTGCAGAAAGTGGAGCTTTCTGTTATGCTCCACAGTTTTATGTTATGGAGTTTCATCACACCCATCCTTCCTCCCATGTATTATCTACATGAAGCTTCTGTGTGTGGTCAGTCAGGGTTTGAGGCTGAAATGTCTAGCATCAGAGATGGGCTGGACACACGATAATACTGAAGCACAGCCTGTATAAACAGGAAAGCAGGTTTTTGTCTGTTTGGTTCATCTATCAATGGAAATGGAAGTCAAGCTGTGATGGATAGGGTTGCACTCTCCCTAAAGGACTGGATGTCCAATATAGAGGTTGCTCATAAATCCAAATTTGTTACTAGAAATCCAAGTGACATCAATGGCTTGATGTGCCTTTTCCCAACTAAGGCTAGTGAACCAATGATGGCTCACCCTGGCCATAGTTATTCACATGCTGGCAGCATCTAGGTTAGATCACTGTGTGTCAGGTTGCATTAAATGTCGAACTGCCTTTGATGCCTCTTTGGAATATGTGGGGATATGCCTTACTGATTCTTAAATAAGTTAATTGCTTATGATCCTGTTTATGTGTATAACTCAAAGCAATAGTACTTGCATTTAAAGCCCTACACAGTGTGGGACCATGGAACTTGAAACATTGTCTACTTCCTCATCAGTCTGTTCCAGTGCAGTACTGGGATGATTACTGTAGATATTTGTATGCCCCTTGCAGAATTCAGGTCATGACAACTGGGGAGAGTACCTATTACCCTGTTTCCCCCAAAATATGACCTAACCTGAAAATAAGCCCTAGTATGATTTTACAGGATGCTTGTAATATAAGCCCTGCCCCACCCTCCATCATTATGCTTTAACCAGAAGATGATATGACTGTATTTGAATAAATGTAGATTGCTGTACATGAAAAAAGATAAAACATCCCCTGAAAATAAGCCCTAATGTTTTTTTTTTGGAACAGAAATTAATATAAGACCCTGTCTTATTTGGGGGGAAACATGGTATATAGGGACATCACAGTTATTGACTGAAATTTATCTTCTGCAAACTCACATAACAGTACTTTTGGGTGCCCAGTGAAGACGTTTTAATAAAATCCAAAGCAGTTGACTGTTTTATCCACTGGTTTGGTTTTGTGTTATTTGTTTGTACTTTAATCTTATTTTATTGTTTTCATTTATAAGCAGTTGTAATAATACTTACATTGAAGTGTGGAATACAAATCAAATTAATGAATGAACTCTACTGGAATTTAAACTGACCTCAAAGGATTAAATGATGCAAGAAAAACAATATTTCTTACATAATTGTGTGGGAGTGGGCTCTAATTCCTGATTTTAAGAAAAGATGTGTTGTACGTATTTTGAAATACTTCTTGATGTTTCTTCTTTCCTTCCAGCTGGTGTTTGGAGTGTTTCAGATTGGTTTCATTGTGAGATATCTTGCAGACCCGCTGGTTGGGGGATTTACAACTGCAGCTGCTTTCCAAGTGTTTGTTTCACAATTGAAAATAGTCTTAAATGTTCCAACTCAAAACTACAATGGTGTTCTTTCCATAATATATGTAAGTCCATATCCTTACAAAACTGGGTTTTGTTGCATAATCTATATGATTGTTTGGCATCATTTTACAGTGTCATGCAATTATTTCATACAAGGTGGGGCAGTATAGCATGATACGAGAAGGAGAAATGTGATTGCTGTCTACATTCCCACTTTTTCATCTGTTGCAAATTTTACACACAACACTTAAGAACTACTGACATAGCAAAGTCTGGATGATAACTATCATTATTTGATCTATTATCACTAATTACACAAATGAATATTATTAAAATAATCCCCCATCCATAGATTAAAATGTATATTGACCAGATGTGTGTGTGTTTAGTCGTTTAGTCGTGTCCGACTCTTCGTGACCCCATGGACCAGAGCACGCCAGGCCCTCCTGTCTTCTACTGCCTCCCGGAGTTGTGTCAGGTTCATGTTGGTTGCTTCGCAGACACTGTCCAGCCATCTCATCCTTGGTCGTCCCCTTCTCCTCTTGCCATCACACCTTCCTAACATCAAGGTTTTTTCCAAGGACTCTTTTCTTCTCATGAGATGGCCAAAGTACTGGAGCCTCAGCTTCAGGATCTGTCCTTCAAGTGAGCATTCAGGGTTGATTTCCTTTAGAACTGATAGGTTTGTTCTCCTTGCAGTCCAGGGGATTCTCAAGAGCCTCCTCCAGCACCACAATTCAAAGGCATCAATTCTTCGGCGGTCTGCTTTCTTTATGGTATATTGACCAGATCCATAATAAATAAATAAATAAATAAATAAATAAATAAATAAATAAATAAATAAATAAATAAATAAAAAGTACTAGGAGTACCCACTCCTTTCAAGCAGTTGGCTGCCACTGTCCCCTTTGATTCCCTGCTGGAAGAGAGGCTGGGAGGCAGGTAATTGGTCCTGTATGCTTATTGAATTGACAGACTATTTAGGTATTCTTTACAAAGGCTTAATCCCATATTGTAGCAAGTTTTTTGGGACAAGAGGGTAGGTTCTGGGACTTAATCTGACCCTTATCAGTTATCAAAATATATATGGACTATGTTTCTAAACTAACCCCACCCGAGGCAGAAGAAAATAAGACATTACATTATACACTGACACAATATTATAATGAAATTTTTAGTTCCCTCACACTTCATGCATGTGAAAGGTGTTGTTCTAGAAGTTGTATGTCTAAAATTAATTCACTATTACACCTCTATGTGAGAATAAACCATGACACAATTTACATTTCTATCAAGAATGCAACAAGTATCTGAACCAATTGTCAATATCTGTGATCTGCCAGAGGCACTACGACTCAGTCAGTTCTTGTTTTCTTCAAAGCTTATAACCATTGTTCCTAGAATCATAGAAAAGTGAAGTTGGAAGGGGCCTTCAAGGCCATCAAGTCCTAATCCCTGCTCAAGGCAGGAATACAATACAGTAGAAGAAAGCTTGTTAGAAAGCTTTTCCTTTCTTTTTGAAGTTGCAGCCTCAAATGCTCATTTACCCAGAAGTAAATCAGACTATATTCAATGAGACTTCACCTTTAGCATCATATCAGAGAATCATAGAGCTCGAAGATACCATTCCTGTTATCAGTGCAGGAAATTCACTCCTATAATCTCTAAAGAAAGGGAACCCACTGATTTCCAGAGCCATCTGTTTTACTCCCAAACAATCTGTACCAATTCTTCATAATTACTTTTTCTTGTAATTCACACCTCTTAGTTTGGGCTTGGGAATAACTCAAGCTGTGGTCTCCCTCTGGGGCGCTTTCCTTGAACTAATTCTCCATACAGGAGATCTTTTGGAATCCAACCGTCAGCCATTCTCACTCAGCACCTTTATGATACATTTTGCTACACATATTTAAATCATTGTTATTGTACACAGTGTGTACAGGGTTGTACATTCATGTGAAATTCAGCTAAACACATTTAAATCACGTATACAATTATAAACTTTCTTCAGGAGCGAAAGAAAACATGTTCATGTGTCTTCCATCTCCCGGAATATGGCACTCCCAACATGTTTTGGATTAAAATTTCCATCATCCAGGAACAACAACCATGGGAGTTACAATTTTAAAAAAATGAAAGTGTTTGTTGGGGAAGGTTGATCAATGTGACCACAGCATCAACCCACTAAAAGGAAGTGATATTCATTACTGAAGTTGTTTGAAGTTGTAATTGTGTCTGAGTCTTTAAAAGTACCCTATTTTCTGCCTATCTGAATGAAAGTCTTTTCCATGTTATTTTTATTTTTTAGACCCTTATAGAAATATTTCAAAATATTAGAATGACGAACATTGCTGATCTCATTGCTGGCCTGCTGACCATTTTTGTTTGCATGGTAGTCAAAGAAATAAACGATCGATTCAAACACAAGATTCCTGTTCCTATTCCAATAGAAGTGATTGTGGTAAGTCAATGGTTTTTAAAAATTCAAAGGATTGAACTGGCAAAAGAACAAGTATTAGCCTTCTATCTATATATACACTATTATTATTATTTTATTTCAGACAATAATAGCGACTGGCATTTCATATGGAGCTGATCTAGAAAAGAAATACAATGCAGGCATTGTTAAAAGCATCCCTAGTGGGTGAGTGCAGACTGTCTATATTTTTAATTAAAGGCAACAGGCGAGTATGATCATATTTTTGAATATAAACATATTGTTTGACTGTGGCCAGAGAGAAGCAGAGCAGCAGGCCTAGTGGAACATCCCACTTTGCCAGCCAGTATGAAAGACATAGGATGGTTTTGCTGATTTTTCAGCTTGATGGATCATTGTATTGTACCCCTCCCCTACTCCCAGAAATGAAAGCAACTGGGCAAAATTAGCAATGCTAGTTCTAGGCTGATGTAAATGACAAGTCTGGATCAGTCAAACATCAACACACCAGGGGAGCTAGGACCCAATAGATCCAAAGGTTACTTATATACACATCTGCCACATACCCAGAAGAACCTGTTTGGGATCTTACATCAGCTACTAAAAGTAGCAGCAGAACTGGTAGTAGCTTACTAACAACTGTGAGTTCAACAATTGAGGGAAAACAAAAAACAGATGAATTTATTCCATGTTTTTGCCTACATATAGATACATCACATAGGTTAAATGGTATATGTTATTAACTCTCAAGGAGAAATTTGGGTGAGAGACAGATACAGTAAGGAATGATATACAAATCACTAAGACATGTGGGGGTGGGAATACTGCATAAGAGTTATGTGCCATTAGATGTATGAATATAACATTCTACAATATATGTAAATATTGTGTAGACCAGTGGTTCTTAACGCGGGCGATAATGCCCCCCAGGGGACGATTTCATTTTCAGGGGGGCGGTAGAATGAAAAGGGGCGGTGTGGGAGCACTGGAGCAGAAGGGGGGCGGTAGGGGGCCACTGGAGCAAGCCAAACCTATGAAGATGGCTGCAGCCTTTTTACAGTGTGCATGAATATATAT